GAACTAGAACTGAACTAGAACTGAACTAGAACTGAACTAGAACTGAACTAGAACTGAACTAGAACTGAACTAGAACTGAACTAGAACTGAACTAGAACTGAACTAGAACTGAACTAGAACTGAACTAGAACTGAACTAGAACTGAACTAGAACTGAACTAGAACTGAACTAGAACTGAACTAGAACTGAACTAGAACTGAACTAGAACTGAACTAGAACTGAACTAGAACTGAACTAGAACTGAACTAGAACTGAACTAGAACTGAACTAGAACTGAACTAGAACTGAACTAGAACTGAACTAGAACTGAACTAGAACTGAACTAGAACTGAACTAGAACTGAACTAGAACTGAACTAGAACTGAACTAGAACTGAACTAGAACTGAACTAGAACTGAACTAGAACTGAACTAGAACTGAACTAGAACTGAACTAGAACTGAACTAGAACTGAACTAGAACTGAACTAGAACTGAACTAGAACTGAACTAGAACTGAACTAGAACTGAACTAGAACTGAACTAGAACTGAACTAGAACTGAACTAGAACTGAACTAGAACTGAACTAGAACTGAACTAGAACTGAACTAGAACTGAACTAGAACTGAACTAGAACTGAACTAGAACTGAACTAAACTGAACTAGAACTGAACTAGAACTGAACTAGAACTGAACTAGAACTGAACTAGGAACTGAACTAGAACTGAACTAGAACTGAACTAGAACTGAACTAGAACTGAACTAGAACTGAACTAGAACTGAACTAGAACTGAACTAGAACTGAACTAGAACTGAACTAGAACTGAACTAACTGAACTGAACTAGGAACTGAACTAGAACTGAACTAGACACTGAACTTAGAACTGAACTGAACTGAACTTAGAACTGAACTAGAACTGAACTTAGAACTGAACTAGAACTGAACTAGAACTGAACTAGAACTGAACTAGAACGAAGCAACTAGAACTGAAACTAGAACTGAACTAGAACTAACTTAGAAACTGAACTAGAACTGCTGAACTAGAACTGAACTAGAACTGAACTCGAAACTGAACTAGAACTGAACTAGAACTGAATGAACTAGAACTGAACTTAGAACTGCTGAACTAGAACTGAACTAGGAACTGAACTAGAACTGAACTAGAACTGAACTGAGACCTGAACTAGAACATGAACTAGAACTGAACTAGAACTGAACTAGAACTGAACTAGAACTGAACTAAGAACTGAACTAGAACTGAACTAGAACTGAACTAAGAACTGAACTAGACACATGAACTAGACCTGAACTAGAACTGAACTAGAACTGAACTTAGAACTGAACTAAGAACTGAATAGAACTGAACTAGAACTGAACTAGAACCTGAACTAGAACTGAACTAGAAACTAGAACTGAACTAGAACTGAACTAGAACTTGAACTAGAACTGAACTAGAACTGAACTAGAACTGAACTAGAACTGAACTAGAACTGAACTAGAACTAAACTTGAACTGAACTAGAACTGAACTAGAACTGAACTAGAACTGAACTAGAACTGAACTAGAACTGAACAAGAACTGAACTAGAACTGAACTAGAACTGAACTAGAACTGAACTAGAACTGAACTAGAACTGAACTAGAACTGAACTAGAACTGAACTAGAACTGAACTAGAACTGAACTAGAACTGAACTTGAACTGAACTTGAACTGAACTAGAACTGAACTAGATCTGAACTATAAATAACTTAAACAAACATTTATATCAACAATAAAACAAATATTTATACAAACAATTAAATAAACATTTAAACAAAAGCAAACACAGTGAAGTGTTTCCCACATCACGTCGCAAAAAAGTCAATTTTAACCGATAATTAAGTAAAAATTATATTATTACGAATTGTTGCTTAATTTTGATCAAGCAAATTGCGATTATTATTTCCGAAATTATAAAAAGTTATTTCTGATAAAATTTCCCAAAATTAAATATCATTAAGCCTTTGAAAACCGGGGTCAAAGTCTAAAAGTGCCATCTTCTCTCATATAAACGCAATTTCAAACTTTGGCGGCGATGCGTGGGCACTTACTCTCAAAATAATTGAATAATATTTTACAAATGACGTTAAAATACAACACTTTGTTGATCCCAGAGAAAATCTGATTTTCGATCCACCCTAGTATACATACATATATTTTGTCTTTAGAGATTTTTTGGCAAATTACAAAAAATTACCAAAAAAGTTACCAAAAAAATACTGCAAAGTTTTAAAACTGTGATTATTATTTTGTGAAGTTTAAAGGTTAAGTTCTTTCTCCTAAGAACGAAGATTTTCTTAGCATTAAAGCAAACTGTGACACTCCCTATTTTACTACACAAATCTCACAAATGAAAGTGTCATAATAATGAGTACTTTTTTGGAAAAAATATTAAAAAAACCCTTTAGTTGTTTATTTTACTCCAACACCTTATTAAATATTCATTTGCAGTAGAAATTTTGTATTTTTATTCTACGTTTCTATCAATATACATATTTGGCAAAAACACAACATTTAAGAATTATTTATAAAAAACAGTTTTGAAAAAAAAGTAACAGAAAAATTTAATACAAGTCCAAACCGCAACAGACATTCTTTGTTGACAAGACATAATGTCAACAAGCGGTTTAACATTAATTTGTCGCATTTTCGGCTGTTGTATTCTTTTTCTCTACGAGAGCAGACTTTGTATATTTGAAAACCTATAAATGAAAAAAAAATGAAACTTTACCGAAATAAAACACCACCAAATAATAAGCAAGAACCCAGCAGATCCAACTCTAAGTAAGCGAAGTCCCAACAAAAAAAAAATCGACAAACAAAACAAATGTTTACTTCACAATAAAGTTTTCACTAAATATTTAACCGAAAGTTCACTTTTCGATGAAAATTCTATTTTCAGTGAAATTTATATTTTCACTAAAAAAATTCAAATTTTTATTAAAAATTATATTTTTCACAATAAATTTAAATTTTCACAAAAAATTGTTCACTTAAAATTTTATTTTTTACCGAAATTTTAATTTTTTACTAACACCTCGATTTTTACTAAAAAATCACCTTTTCACACAATTATAAAATTTCCTCCAAAAATTAATTTCTACCTTTCGGGTTTGCTGGGTTGTTAACATAACAACAACAAAACATCAGAAAAAAGTAAGCTCTTATTTGATGGAAATTTGTAATTCCCTAGAGTCTGACTGCAAGTGCTTGTAAATTTTAACTGTTTAATACATATTTGTCTATGATTTATTAACAGAACAGAACTAGAACAGAACTAGAAAAGAACTAGAACAGAACTAGAACAGAACTAGAACAGAACTAGAACAGAACTAGAACAGAACTAGAACAGAACTAGAACAGAACTAGAACAGAACTAGAACAGAACTAGAACAGAACTAGAACAGAACTAGAACAGAACTAGAACAGAACAGAACTAGAACAGAACTAGAACAGAACTAGAACAGAACTAGAACAGAACTAGAACAGAACTAGAACAGAACTAGAACAGAACTAGAACAGAACTAGAACAGAACTAGAACAGAACTAGAACAGAACTAGAACAGAACTAGAACAGAACTAGAACAGAACTAGAACAGAACTAGAACAGAACTAGAACAGAACTAGAACAGAACTAGAACAGAACTAGAACAGAACTAGAACAGAACTAGAACAGAACTAGAACAGAACTAGAACAGAACTAGAACAGAACTAGAACAGAACTAGAACAGAACTAGAACAGAACTAGAACAGAACTAGAACAGAACTAGAACAGAACTAGAACAGAACTAGAACAGAACTAGAACAGAACTAGAACAGAACTAGAACAGAACTAGAACAGAACTAGAACAGAACTAGAACAGAACTAGAACAGAACTAGAACAGAACTAGAACAGAACTAGAACAGAACTAGAACAGAACTAGAACAGAACTAGAACAGAACTAGAACAGAACTAGAACTAGAACAGAACTAGAACAGAACTAGAACAGAACTAGAACAGAACTAGAACAGAACTAGAACAGAACTAGAACAGAACTAGAACAGAACTAGAACAGAACTAGAACAGAACTAGAACAGAACTAGTACAGAACTAGAAGAGAACTAGAACAGAACTAGAACAGAACTGGAACAGATCTAGAACAGAACTAGAACAGATCTAGAACAGAACTAGAACAGAACTATAACAGAACTATAACAGAACTAGAACAGAACTAGAACAGAACTAGTACAGAACTAGAAGAGAACTAGAACAGAACTAGAACAAAACTAGAACAGAACTAGAACAGAACTAAAACAGAACTAAAACAGAACTAGAACAGAACTAGAACAGAACTAGAACAGAACTAGAACAGAACTAGAACAGAACTAGAACAGAACTAGAACAGAACTAGAACAGAACTAGAACAGAACTAGAACAGAACTCGAACTGAACCCGAACAAAACTCCAACTGAACTAGAACCAGAACTGATCTAAAACTAGAACTGAACTAGAAGTAAGTAGAAGTGATCTTAAATCCATTTATAGTCTACAGTCTTGAATTTTAAAAGTCTGATATCTTTGTCTACAAATTGTTTATTTTATTTTTTAAAAATTTCACAAAATTATGTTGTTTTATAAATTTTTGTTGTATTTAAGTCAACAAAATAACCATAATGCTCCATAAGATTAGATAAGCATTGTGTATACATTTGAGAGCTCATTCTATACGAAAGAAAGAGCTGCTGGCATACAAATTGAGAGCTAATTTAAATGATTGAGTCATTTAATGTGGATCAGTGGAACATTTTAATTTTCTTACAAAGTCTGGAATAGTGGTAAATTTTTACTTTGAGCAAATACTTTTCTTTTGAGTTTTGAAAATAATTTACTAATAAAAGTGGGTGAATAATTGGTATTATTTTAATTTTGTTGCTTTTTTATCAAGAATAAAATTATCTAATCTTATCTTTTTTGTAGAGATTACAACATTGTGGAGAGTATAATAAACAAGTAGGTGAGGTACTTTTTATGAGCAGCAGAAGTAGTACGATATTTGAAACAGGTGGTTAAAGAAGGTAAAAAATAAGCGGTGCTAAATTTGAAATAAAAATGTGTTAAGAAATTTAAAAATAAATATAAAAAATCAAAGAAAAACTTTTTGTAAAAAAAAAGTGTGAAGTGATCGCTGATATATATAGGTTTCACTAAAAGAGTATTAAAAGAATAAAAAAGTGTTTCTGAAAACAAAGACTCTGAAAAAGATGAAAAATATCAAGTGTTATTATATGTACTGATCTGAGGCAATGTTAAGTGAAGGAAAAGTGTTAAAGTTTAATAATTACTTGTCAGAGAGACGATCGCTCAGAAAACTGATCTGCAGAGATTTTCTAAAGTAAAGAGAAGAAAAATCAAATTAATAAAATGGAATTTCAGACACAAAAGAATTTAAACTTCTGATAAAGACTAATAATATTTAATTTAATTTATAAAATAAATAGTCAATTTTTTCGCTCAGTGTATAAAAATTACCAATATTAAATATTTGCTACTATCTTTTTTCTAATAATGCCTCTAGTCTCTAGTTTTTTTATCTAATCATTTGGAAAAAAAGGTCTTAAAATCGCATTTATAGAACTGTAAAAACTATAACACTAGTGTAGAGTTTTTGCGCGTTTTTTTTTTAACAAAATCCCTCAATTGCTCTTACTCACTCTCTCGATCTCTGTCTCACTCTTTCCTAAAACAAGTGCGTAAACTACAAAGACAAGTGTTTGAAAATATACATTAGAAAACTATGCAGGTTCTATGATAATAGTAAAATACCTGTAAAGCCCTAAATTATCAAAATTACACATACCATAGGGGCAAAAATAAAATAAACAAAAAGCCCCTTTATACCCAAGAACAAATAAAATCGAATATTGTGAAACTCTAAAGTATTTCAATGAATGGTGAAGGTGAATAGTGATTTTGTACAAACACAAGGAACAGATTAAATATTGATAAGGAAAATGTGTTTAAAAAAAGTTCAGACCAATATGAGTCATTTACATTTAAAACATATACAATAAATTTAATGAATTGAATGAAATCAATTGTAATAAAGACAAAAAAAAACAAAGAAAATTTGTTAATGCCGGAAATATAGCCTCAACCGAAAATTTGAGTTAATGATAATGAAACAAATACCTTAGTCAATAAGGTTCTTAAAGTTGAAGTTTTCCAAAAACTATGACGGTTAACAGGTCTACAAAGATCACGTTTGACTTTAAAGGAACCGAGAGATAGAATAGCTTTCAAAACTCTTTCGTTTTCTCGAACCTACAAGGTCTACTTTAGCTTCCCTTCCGGCAATTTAGAAACCTTTTGGACAAATCCAATAGGAGATCGCCAAAGGGAAAAGATGTTAATAAGTTTCAGACCTATAAGTTATAATTATCGAAACAAATGTCTTCACATACCTCTAAGGTTCTAAATGTCAGCGTCTTCAAGAAGTAACATTACAAATCTCATCTCATCTTTTACTTCTCATTATGACAACATCTGCAGTGCTTGTAGAGCAGATTCAATATCCAATCTTTCAATATATTTCGATTCCAGTCAATGAAGATCATTTCCTAATATTCTTGATCTTTCGAACATTGTGTCTGTGATGTAGTTTTGAAAAGATCACATCCAGTATAATGACATTCATCCCAAAAACTGCCTCGCACATAGAAAGATTTCTGATTCTCTTGACACTTTCTGAACGATTTCAGCGAAAATTGTTTCCCCAACTTCTTGATCTTTCGACCATTGGGTTCGCGATGTAGTTTCGATAAGATCATTTCCTCATATTCATGATCTTTCGAACAATGTATCTGCGATGTGGTTTAGATAAGATTTCTGATTCTCTTGACACTTTCTGAACGAAATTTGACACTTTGACTATTTCTCAGAGAAAATTATTTCCCCATATTCTTGATCTTTCAAACACTGGGTTCGCGATGTAGTTTCTATAATATCATTTCCTCGTATTCTTGATCTTTCGAACATTGTGTCTGTGATGTAGTTTCGAAAAGATCACATCCAGTAAAATCGCTTTCATACTAAAAACTTCCTCGTACATTGAAAGATTTCTGATTCTCTTGACACTTTTTAAACGATTCGAGTCATGCTCGACCAAAGTTTGTTAACTCAGTGAAAATTATTTCTCCACCTTTTTGATCTTTTAAACACTGGGTTCGCGATGTAGTGTCGATAAGATCACATCAATCGTCTTCATTCTAAAAACTGCCTCGCAAATTGAAAGATTTCTGGTTCGCTTGACTTTCTTCCGAAAGGCCCGTGTCATACTCGACCAAAGATTGCCAATTTTGCGAAAATTGTTTCCCCATATTCTTGATCTTTCAAACACTGTGTTCGCGATGTTGTTTCGATAAGATTACACCAACTAGAATACTCGCATTGAATTGGATCCAAAAACTCGCTCACAAATTGAAAGATTTCTGGTTTGGAACTGTGGAAGATTTTCGATTTACACTTAGAGTCTTTGCTTATGATTAATCTGAAAGTTTGTTAACTTAGCGAAAGCTGTATCAAAAAAAACTAGCTTCGTTCAAAGGGTCTGCATGTTCCAATCATAGACAAACATGCAATATTCTTAAAGATGTCAGACACATATGAAATATATCCGGATCACTTGACTTTCGGCAAGCTATGACAGAAATCTCAGTATTTTCACTCACCTACTCATACTTCAAAAAATTAAGACTCATAGACGAGAGAGATCTGATCATTAATTTGGTATGACAAGTGGCTACAATTCTTAGAATACAATGAATCATTTTTAAGAAGCTAAAGTGTGGGGTCAGCTTCAGTTTCCTTCGTTACTTTCAGACACACCTGTATGCAAACAATTGAATTTTTTGAAAAAAATAACAAGAACAGGAACAAAATAATGACAATACCTAACGAATGATATCATCAATATACGATTAAATGATAATGCCTCTATATACACATTTGAAATTATTTCTTGTAAATCGTAAAAAAAAACTGATAAATAGTGATAGAGTGAAAGATAATGGAAAGGAATACAGAAATAATACACGCAATAAAATCAAATACCTTAGTTATAGAAAAAAAGAACATAACAAAATTTTTGTTATCATATTTCAAATATAATACCAAAAATATATATAAAAAAGCACTTGTCACAAAGTCTCCAAATTCATAAATTTTTATGAGTAATAAGTGGTCACAAATAACTGATAGGTTAACCCTGAACTAATTATTAGTTGTAACAATTATGTATAGAAAAACTAGTGTAACACTTTAAAATCCATCAATCTTATTTAAAAAACAACTAATTTGGTTTCTTAACTTATTTCTTTACAGCCTATTTTATACTTAATAACGACATTGCAAACCTCAAGAGAACAAATATACGAAATTTTTTTGAAAACTATGTTTAAAACGAATAAAATACAGACCCTTTTGGGTCTGTTAGCTTTATATCTATGCTTAAGCATAGATTTAACACAAGCTCAAGAAAATGCCCAATTACAAATACCTCCGTCATTGGTGGAATGTTATAATACCTCTTACTATATGGATCGTGCTAATCGTTTGCCCTCCAACATAGAAACTCTAATAACACTGATAGAAAAAGTGGAAAATTCTTATGGTTTTAATCAAGATATACGCCAATTGGCGGTATCTTTGACCCATCGTTTCCGTCAAGATGGCATACAGAGAGCTAATGGTGTGGCTGCCGGTTTACCTGGAGTTATACCCTATAGTCCTACTGGTTTCCAATTTCCCAAATTTCGCATACTTCTACAACGTTTGATACCTGGTAATGCTTTCAATTTTCCCAATAATTCTCTAACCAGTGAGGAAAGGTGCTCTCTACATTTTATGCTGTCCAGTTCGTTTGATACACGCGTCCGAGGAGATGAGAATACTGTATGCAGCAATTTGGCTCAATATAGATCCCAACGTTTACCGCGTGCTTTACACAATCCTCAACAAAGACCCAGTAATTTCATAGGAGATGTAGAAATTTTGGATAGCTTACAATCTCAGGCAGCCAAACGTGGTGCTCCTATGCAGGCGGGACAACGTTTTAATACAAATGCCAAGTCCTATGATTATGAATATGGCTGGAATGATTATGGTTACAATAACAATGGAGGCAGTAATAGCATTAGCCAGTGTCCAGTGGAAAATGGTGTTATACGCACCCAATGGGGTACAGTGGCTGCGGGTACTTTATTGGCAGGTATAGCTGCTGGTTTGCAACCTCAAACCGTACCTTTAAGAACTTTACTGGCTATGGCCTCTCGTCGCAATGGTTATCAAAATATGCCACAAATAGCCACCGTCAATGTAGACAATAGATGGGCCGCCACTGTGGCTGGTGATTTGGCTGAGGTTGCTTTAGTACAAGTTCCCGTCTCTGCTAACGAACAGGCCACCGTAGGTGCTATAGGTGCCTGGAATAGCACCGTAATGCCCAAATGGTATTTCCTTTCGCAAAGACAAAACCTTGAAATGACTGATGCCGAAATACGTGGTGGCATTGATGGTCTTATATTGGCGCTTAACATTGCTCAATGGAATAATCAAATTAACAATTTGAAATTATCTCAAGTATTGCGTATGTATTATTCTTTGGATGGTGTTTTGGGTAGCGGCATAATGGCCTGTAATCGCATGGCTACCTTCCAGGGTATTACCAATTATCAACAAACTATGATGGCTCAGACATCAGCATTTGCTCAGGTCTTGGATCGTGAAATGCAATTGGTGGTTACTTTGTCTCCAGATTCGATTGCCAATTTTTCATTGTCTGCCACAAATGCTTTGATCAATTATTTGCGTAAGTAGTAAATGTTAAATATTTTTTTGGAAACTACATTATTTTTATAAGAAATACTCTCTGTTTGTGTTTGTGTGAGGATTAATTAAGTTAATTTTAATGTTTTGTTGAGAATATTTTTGTGAATTTCAAATACTTTTAAAGCTTCCAAACGATATTTAATGAAATATTTTCATTCATTTAAAGCAAAATTTTGAAGGTTTTCAATCTTTGCCCTCCTGGTCACTTACATTGCAGACAACATACTAAATCACCGACTAGACCCCAACTAACTTACAATCTAGACTATAGACTAACTTAGAGACAAGATCATAAAATACACTACAAACTATTACATACTAGATTAGAGACTAGATTACAAACTAACTTACAATCTAGACTATAGACTAACTTACAATTACAGAGCAGACAATATACTAGATTACCGACTAGATCACAAACTAACTTACAATCTAGACTATAAACTAACTTAAAGACAAGATCATACAATACACTACAAACTAGATTACAGATTAGATTACTTACTAGATTATAGACTAGATTACAATCTAGACTACGAACTAACTTACAGGCAAGATCATAGAATACACTACAGACTATATTACAGATTAGATTACATACTGGGTTAAAGACTAGATTACAAACTAACTTACATTCTAGACTACACACTACCTTACAGACTAGACTATAGACTAACTTACAAGTAAGATCATAGACTAGATTACTGACTAAATTATAGACTAGATTAGAGACTAGGCTACAAACTAGACTACATACTAACTTACAGGCTAGAAAACACACTACCTTATTAGCTAGACTATATACTAACTTACAGGATAGCCTACAATATACATTATAGTTTACATTCTAAATTACAGACTATGCTATGGTAAATAAACTAATAACCGTTATCTCAAGTAGATAATTAAAACACATTCGTAGAACTGTTTGCTTCCCCAACTGTTGAGAAAAGTCTTCTCAGAATTAGATTTTAATGTCTAATCGAAGCTTACAACATCGTCTTTATATATAATAGTTAAAAACGAACTCCATTTCTTATCAGTTGTTTTCTTACCGAACTGTAGACTTAAGAGTAGCTTTAACTAATTGTAATAAACTCATATTATTCCTTTAGCCATGAATGATCCTTTATGTTCGGTTAGCAGTGCGGTACCCCAAGATGTCTCACAAACCATAACACCCATGACAAATATATATGTTTATATAGATACCACTTGGCCATTCTATCAAGTGCAGGACTATGTCAAGTAAGTCAATTTGTATTGCCAAAATATCGAAATCAATTTATTAATAAATCTTAATATTTAGCTATGTGCTGAGCAATTTAAACATTAATCCTTATGCCAGTTCGGTGACATTATTGGCAGCAGCTGATGGTTCCATTATAGTTAATACCACCAATTATATATCGGACATATTCCAGGGTTGGAACTATACCACACATAATAATTGTAAGTTATTGACAAATACAAATTTTACTTAAAATTTTAACACTAACTTCTTATGTTATAACAAAGATACCCAGGGCTTTAGCTTACCTACGGTATTGCAAAGCATACAAAATTTGACTACCCAATATATGAATGCTCAGAAGACTAATTCTACGGTGGGAGGACGCTCTTTAATAGCCTTAATGGTGCCCTATATGGCTACTGTCAGTGCTTCAGATTCCAATTATGCCACCACTCAGTTACAATACATAAACGAACAAATACCCGATTTACGTTTCATTTATTATGCTGGCGGCACTATAACACGTTTCACCTCATTTGTTTTGGAACCCACTAAAGATTTATTCTCCCTGAGTCCTTCCACAAGTCCAGCTACAGCCGGTGGACCGGTAGTTATGAGAATTAAGACAAGTAAGTTTATTTTAACTTAAATTTTAAGTCACGGGCTTTATAATTATGTTCATACTTTTCTAGTTCCTCGCCGTTTGATAAATCCCCGCTGTGGTGCCTCTTGGTATACTTCCACCTGGGGAACTGATCAACTAGCTCAATATGCCCGTCCCGGTGTTACTAATTTTTATCGCATGGTACCCAATTATTTCTATGGTGCTGGTAATGGTCGTTATTTGAATATACAATCACAAAATTCGGTACAATTTACCGTATGCACATCACGTTCAGTGGTTCTACCCCAACAAAATGCCACCTCTAGCAATTCGGATGTTACCTGTACCCAATTACAGGGCAATACTTTTTCATATGATTTATCGAATGCCTGTAATGGTTACTATACAATACATCAATGTCCTCCTCTATATGTTTCGGTACAGGCTCCTTCTAGTTATTCTTCCTCCTCCTCACCATCATCATCATCATCAAGTTTTGGTGGCCCATCATATGGTGGCTCTTCATATGCCTCTATCTGCACCGATGCAGCCTGTCAAACACCTGATCAGGCCCGTTATATAATGTCAGTGGTTAATTTGGGCTGCTATAGTGGTGTATCAGCTTTAACAGCCAGTTTTGCCACCTTGATCCTGGTGTATTTGTTGAGTAAACTTCTTTAAATGGTTTTCACAAATATATTCAAATTTCGACGCCATATTTATACACATAATTTAAATAAGTTATTTTCACTTCGTTTTTTATACAACTTACAAGTTGAGACCTTCAATTAGAACAAATCCTGGGTCAACTTGTGATCCTTAAGATCCTGTCAAAGAGTTTGTTTTTCTTTTTATTCATTTTTATCTTTATTTTACAATATAACTTTATGCTTAAATTATTATTTTTAAGTAAAATTTATAAAAACAAAAATAACAACAAATTATAAATTACACTTTTTCTAATAAACTTTTAAATTAAAAAAAAAATTGGATTTAGTCCGAAAAAAATACAACAGAGAGTATTTCTTTTAATTTACCATCATTATAATTAATTTGTAAAACTTAATCATTAAATTACCCTTTCATCACAAAAAGCTGTAGTAACTTCTAACCCTTCTACTGACCCGGCCTGGAACCAACAGCCTCAACATATTACAAATCTTACAACAGTAATGACTGATATTTTTGTGTTCTTGGATACTTATTGGGAATATGATTATATAGTGGATTATCTCAAGTAACCATTTAACAGCTGTTTAAGAAATTTAAATTTTATTATTCTTTCTAAACTTTAGCTATGTGGTACAACGTTTAAATATTAATCCTTATGGCAGTTCCATTACCCTATTAGCCGCTCGAGATGGTAGTACTATTGTTGAACGTACGTTTTATATAACAGACTATTATGAGAAATGGAATAAGACCAGCCAGTCGAGGTGTAAGTAGGAGAATAATATATATACTATTATCTAGCCTATACTATAGTCTATAGTCTAGCCTATACTATATTCTATAGTATAGCCTATAGTCTAGTCTACAGTCTAGACTATAGTCTATAGTTTAGTCTATAGTTTAGTCTATATAGTCTTTAGTCTAGTCCATAGTCTAGTCCATAGTCTAGTCTATAGTCTAGCCTATAATCTAGTCTATAGTCTAGTCTATAGTATAGTCTATAGTCTAGTCTATAGTCTAGTCTATAGTCTAGTCTATAGTCTAGTCTATAGTTTAGTATATAGTCTAGTCTATAGTCTAGACTATAGTCTAGTATAGTCTAGTCTATAGTCTAGTCTATAGTCTAGTCTAGTCTAGTCTATAGTATAGTCTATAGTCTAGTCTATAGTCTAGTCTATAGTCTAGTCTATAGTCTAGTCTATAGTCTAGTCTATAGTCTAGTCTATAGTCTAGTCTAGTCTAGTCTATAGTCTAGTCTATAGTCTAGTCTATAGTCTAGTCTATAGTCTAGTCTATAGTCTAGTCTATAGTCTAGTCTATAGTCTAGTCTATAGTCTAGTCTATAGTCTAGTCTATAGTCTAGTCTAGTCTATAGTCTAGTCTAGCTAGTCTAGTCTATAGTTTAGTCTATAGTCTAGTCTATAGTCTAGTCTATAGTCTAGTCTATAGTCTAGTCTATAGTCTAGTCTATAGTCTAGTCTATAGTCTAGTCTATAGTCTAGTCTATAGTCTAGTCTATAGTCTATAGTCTAGTCTATAGTCTAGTCTATAGTCTAGTCTATAGTCTAGTCTATAGTCTAGTCTATAGTCTAGTCTATAGTCTAGTCTATAGTCTAGTCTATAGTCTAGTCTAGTCTAGTCTATAGTCTAGTCTATAGTCTAGTCTATAGTCTAGTCTATAGTCTAGTCTATCTAGTCTACAGTCTAGTCTTAGTCTAGTCTATAGTCTAGTCTATATTCTAGTCTATAGTCTAGTCTATAGTCTAGTCTATAGTCTAGTCTATAGTCTAGTCTATAGTCTAATCTATAGTCTAGTCTATAGTCTAGTCTATAGTCTAGTCTATAGTCTAGTCTATAGTCTAGTCTATAGTCTAGTCTATAGTCTAGTCTATAGTCTAGTCTATAGTCTAGTCTATAGTCTAGTCTATAGTCTAGTCTATAGTCTAGTCTATAGTCTAGTCTATAGTCTAGTCTATAGTCTAGTCTATAGTCTAGTCTATAGTCTAGTCTATAGTCTAGTCTATAGTCTAGTCTATAGTCTAGTCTATAGTCTAGTCTATAGTCTAGTCTATAGTCTAGTCTATAGTCTAGTCTATAGTCTAGTCTATAGTCTAGTCTATAGTCTAGTCTATAGTCTAGTCTATAGTCTAGTCTATAGTCTAGTCTATAGTCTAGTCTATAGTCTAGTCTATAGTCTAGTCTATAGTCTAGTCTATAGTCTAGTCTATAGTCTAGTCTATAGTCTAGTCTATAGTCTAGTCTATAGTCTAGTCTATAGTCTAGTCTATAGTCTAGTCTATAGTCTAGTCTATAGTCTAGTCTATAGTCTAGTCTATAGTCTAGTCTATAGTCTAGTCTATAGTCTAGTCTATAGTCTAGTCTATAGTCTAGTCTATAGTCTAGTCTATAGTCTAGTCTATAGTCTAGTCTATAGTCTAGTCTATAGTCTAGTCTATAGTCTAGTCTATAGTCTAGTCTATAGTCTAGTCTATATTCTAGTCTATATTCTAGTCTATAGTCTAGAGAGTCGAGTCTACTATCTAGTCTATAGTCTAGTCTTTAGTCTAGTCTATAGTATAGTCCATAGTCTAGTCTATAGTCTAGTCTATAGTCTAGTCCATAGTCTAGTCTATAGTCTAGTCTATAGTCTAGTCCATAGTCTAGTCTATAGTCTAGTCTATAGTCTAGTCCATAGTCTAGTCTATAGTCTAGTCTATAGTCTAGTCTATAGTCTAGTCCATAGTATAATCTATAGTCTAGTGAATAGTCTAGTCTATAGTCTAGTCTATAGTATAGTCTACAGTCTAGTCTATAGTCTAATCTAAATATTTTTTTATATTTCAGTCCGCCCCGGTTTCAGTTTACCCTTGATCTTAAGTAAAACTCAACTTTTAGCTGAAACAATTTTAAAATATGAACGCAACAACTCCTCTTTGGGAGGACGTTCCATGATTGCTCTATTGATACCTAGTCCAACAGCATTTATATACGATTATGATTTTGATTATTGTAAAAATTTTGTAAATTATTTCAATAATTCTTTGCCCGATTTGACATTTCTTTACTATGCTGGAGGAGCGGTAATAAGATTTAACGAATTTGTAGATAATAAACAGGAAGATATATTTGTGCTGAGTTATGATTTAGAAGTAAAAACTGCAGCTGAACCTTTGGTCAAGAGAATAAGAAAAGGTAGGATAAAAACCTTGAAAAACATTGTTAACATAAAATATTTTTTTTAATTTCTCTAGTTCCCCGCCGTTTAACCAATCCTCGTTGCTCAGCCTATTGGACATCTCTATCCATGGGTTCCAATCAAATCGAGCAATATGAGCCCTTGGGTCACATAAATTTTTATCGCCTATCACCCCACTATTTCTTTAGCGAGGGCAGTATGCGTTATTTGAAAGTAAAACCTTTAAGTGCAGTGGCTTTTATTGTCTGTACCTCACGCTCAAATCCCTGGCCCTATCGCAATCCCACAGAGCCATATACAAAATGTGTAGATTGTAAACAAATCACCACTATGGATTTTAGTTTTGATTTAGGAGATTTATGTTTGGATTATGACTCATTAGGGGATTGTCCTCCTCTGTATTTATCGGTACAGGCACAAACATTTGCTGATGCCAACCAAGTGGCCTGTAAGAATCCGGCTTGTGCCACACCCGATGAGACTCAATATGCAATAATGGTTAATAATTTGGATTGTACTAATAGTGCAGCATCAACTATGCTAATTCGAATGTTGAATTTGGTTTTAATATTGGTTGTTACTAGGACGTTTTAAGAGAGCAGCAGCGAAAAAAGAATTTATATAACCTTAAAGAAGTTCGATCAAATAAATAAAGAAAATGTTTGATTACATTAAGCATAGACTGAGAAAAAAAAACAATTTTCTTGTTCAATCGAGTTTTGTTCAGAAATTTTATTGAATTTTAAATAAATACTGATAAACCCGCCTTTTATATTTAAATTCAATAAAAACTATTTTATTTCCTATCTTAACATTAAATGGTTCTATACTTTATCTTTAATTTTGTATACGACAAACTTGTGTGTTTGACTCTTGTAACTTTAACACTTTACATCCTGCCCACAAGTCAGTTTGACATAAAGTTTGGTGTCAAGTTTTTGTGTTGTATTTCATATGACATAAGGAACTAAAGTGTGTGAAATTTTCCACACAAAAAATGTTTTTCTCTTGCAATTTAGTTTTGCTGAAGATGATACTTTATAAATAAATATTTTCTCAAGTAAAGCACACACTTATCTTTGTATGTCATGTCATAAAAAGAATTTAAAATAAAGTTTTGAGTTTGTTTGTTATTCTTAAAAATCAAATTGTTGAAGAAAAATTTTAAATTTTAAACAGTTTTGACAAAAATAGACTTAACTAGAAATGAAGTAGAAAATAAATAAACTGAACTAGAACTGAACTAGAACTGAACTAGAACTGAACTAGAACTGAACTAGAACTGAACTAGAACTGAACTAGAACTGAACTAGAACTGAACTAGAACTGAACTAGAACTGAACTAGAACTGAACTAGAACTGAACTAGAACTGAACTAGAACTGAACTAGAACTGAACTAGAAACTGAACTAGAACTGAACTAGAACTGAACTAGAACTGAACTAGAACTGAACTAGAACTGAACTAGAACTGAACTAGAACTGAACTAGAACTGAACTAGAACTGAACTAGAACTGAACTAGAACTGAACTAGAACTGAACTAGAACTGAACTAGAACTGAACTAGAACTGAACTAGAACTGAACTAGAACTGAACTAGAACTGAACTAGAACTGAACTAGAACTGAACTAGAACTGAACTAGAACTGAACTAGAACTGAACTAGAACTGAACTAAACTAGAACTGAACTAGAACTGAACTAGAACTGAACTAGAACTGAACTAGAACTGAACTAGAACTGAACTAGAACTGAACTAGAACTGAACTAGAACTGAACTAGAACTGAACTAGAACTGAACTAGAACTGAACTAGAACTGAACTAGAACTGAACTAGAACTGAACTAGAACTGAACTAGAACTGAACTAGAACTGAACTAGAACTGAACTAGAACTGAACTAGAACTGAACTAGAACTGAACTAGCACTCAACTAGAACTGAACTAGAACTAGAACTGAACTTGAACTGAACTAGAACTGAACTAGAACGGAACTAGAACTGAACTAGAACTGAACTAGAACTGAACTAGAACTGAAAGAACTGAACTAGAACTGAACTAGAACTGAACTAGAACTGAACTAGAACTGAACTAGAACTGAACTAGAACTGAACTAGAACTGAACTAGAACTGA